GGTTTCAGAGGATCAGGACTGATCAAGATTCTACGGGCGGGGTGTGGTCCAGAGGTCATTTTGAACAATCTTTGTTCTGGTGGAGGCCAAATAGCAAATCAGAATCCAGCTCTAGCTCTGCTTGAGTGTTATGCGTTTAAACTTCCCCGTATTAGAGAGTCAGCGTTTTCTTGAAGTCAGCTCTTTAGAGTGATGTTCTACTTCTGAGCCAACGAGGTTTGTAGGTGGAACTTTATTACGGCCTAACGTTTCGACCAGATCGTCGTCCTCAGAGGCCAGTCCACCGCGGCATGAGCGGATCAACGCCGCTCCACTAGATGTTAGTAAAGTAAGAAGTAAGCTGTTTTGTTATGATAACTGCTGTTTAACGCCGCAGTACGCGTTCCGAATGTTATCACAAGAATGCTGAGTTGTGGGCAAAAGTCGTGCCCCAGGCGGGAGTCGAACCCGCACCTCACGCTTTCCGGGCGCTATCCGTTACGCCACCAGGGCCGCTTTTACCCTCTCAGCTTAACGGCTTTTATGCCGTAGCCTTACAGCACTCACACGTTTAACTTGGTGAGCCGGTCAGCCGTAATCGTTAGATATCGGCAATGAACCGCGAGGCCGAAGGCTTTACAAGTTTTTGAAGCTGTTTTGTTATGATAACTGATAGAAGTAAGATGGTTCAGAAGTAGAACATCAAAATTACAACATGCCGAGGCTATACGAAGAGAGAAGTTGGGGACTATTGGAAGTCTCTGAAATGACTTTTACCGAAAACTTTCCTCTTTTGAAAATATTCTCGATGGTCAGAGTCTTGATGTTTTGGGTTTTCAGTTCCACAACAAGGAGAGCTGAAGATCACCACGGAGTTTGGTCGAATTCTCGTAGGAATCCAGGAAATCGTCGTCATACCGCAAGGTCTGTGCCACTTTTGTAGTCAAAGATCGCTAGGGAATTTGTGAGAATATGCTATGAGACAGCTGCTATTTGATGTGTTTTCTTGCTAGATTACATTGTTCGCTGCGGATGAAGGGGCGTGTCAAGAGGGCTAGGCTTGGCGCGTCGCCTGCCCGTTCTCTACCTTCTGCTGAAGGGGATGAGCGACAA